TAATACTTCCAATACTTCTGGTGCATCAATAACCTAAGAATAATTAATTATATATTAAATTAATTATATATTAAAATGTATATGCTAATAAACTTGAATAATTTGAAAAAAAAGTATAAATACCTTCTTTTTTAAATCAACTCGATTAAGGGAAATGATTCCTGCTAAAACTGCATATTTTACAAAATCCTTATATTCCATTAACTCGGTTGACATAAAGGTTGAGAGTGTATCAAGAAATAAATTTGCTGCTGTTTTAAAATCACGTATTGATAATCGATATATGCCTTCATAAACTTTAAGCCGATTACGTCGATCCCAATCACCACCTTCTTCGATCATGCTGTAAATGATATTAAAATGTGAAAAATATTCAAATAATTGATATTTTTGAATTAATTCACGCGTATATCTTACCTTCTTGCTTTTTCAATATTACGACTAATAAGGTCATTATCATTAAAAAAGAATCCAATCCGCACAAAAGAAAAGATTATATCAATTCGAGAACCTAATCCTGCAGTTTTCTCTAAAGCAACTCGATATGCCGCTAGTGCTTTTTCCTATATTCGAAAAGTAATGAATATCAGCCTTCATTAAAAAAAAAAAAAGGATCGAATAGCAATTATACACACTTTATCCCCAATTTTGGCAAAGTAATCAGCTTTAGCTAACAAAGCATCGCTTATTTCTGTCTCACCAAGATTTTTTTCGGCATCTTGCAGTCGTTCTTCTAATTTTTGTAACTCTTCTTTATTGGCTTCTTGATATTTGGTCAACAAGGCCTTGTTTAACGGAATTTTGAGTTCTTCAGTTACAAGTTGGTAAAATGGTGCCATGTCTAAAATATTTAATATAATGTCAATCACTAATGCAGAACCTACTATAAAGATTTTAGCCCTTATTAACCTAATACAGGTAAGGAACTTACTGTTTTCATCAATTATATTAAACAACTTTGTTTTGACTTCTTCATGTTGTTCTGGAGTTTTGGGATTATTCAAAATGAAACGGTAATGTGCGAGTTCAAGGTTAGGTAATTTTGCAATTGAAGTGTCTGACATTTTGATGGTTTAATTATAAGGATAGCGATAACGGTAAAAAAAGATTTTTATACACTGTTAAACAGCCAATCATAATTAGGACTTCTCGGAGTTATCACAACGTGATTATGGTAGCCAATAAAGGAGATTGCTACGGGCACAACATTTCACGTGCTTATGTGCTTATGGGCAGTGTTGTATATTTTCCAAGTGTTCACAAGTGTTCAAAGCATGTTCAAGCTTTAATAATTAATAAATCTGTTTAAAAAATATATAATTATATATATATTTTATGTGCTAAATATATTTTATTTAGAAATTAATAGGTTATCTTAATAAAATTTTGAGTAATGTTAATTTATTTAATTGTTCAAAATTGTCCAAAGTGTTCAAACTTACTATCCACAACTGTTCTGTAACAACACTGCTTATGGGCACAACAATGACTGGCATTACTAAAATATTCTTACTATTACCCTAATGCAGTGTTGTCACAGGACAGTTGTAAACAGTAAGTTTGAACACTTTGGACAATTTTGAACAATTAAATAAATTAAAATTACTCAAAATTTTATTAAGATAATCTATTTTAATTTCTAAGTAAAATATGTTCAGCACATAAAAAAATATATAATCATATATTTTTTAAACAAATTTATTAATTATTAAAACTTGGATATGCTTTAAACACTTGTGAACACTTGGATACTTGGATGTTGAACAGTACTAAAAAAGCCTTTGGACAGTCAAAACGTATAACACTATTCTAATGTTAACTCTAATCCTAACTCAGGCCAATATTGTATTGATAAATCATGTGAAATGTTGTGCTTGTAGTTTTCTACCCAATAAAAATCATAAATTTGTATATAATATTTGTGATATCTAAAAATTGATTAATCAATAAAATTGTGACCTATGTGATAAAATTGAATATGTCACATGATAAATTCGAATATGTTATGATTTGTGTCACAATTTATGTGATATATTCGAATTTATCACTTATATTGTAACACAATTTATGTGTTAAATTTCGGTTCAACCATCGGATTGGTATGGATCACTCACAGATTAATCTGAATTTCAGATTCGAAACAAATTCGAATCAATCTCAAATTAACCAGGATTTTTAATCCGATTTCAAATACTAATCTATTTGATGGTTTTATATAAAGCAAAATATTAATTGTTTTTTACAACTATTTTTAATATTTAGTTCTTGTCTATAGTTTTTCAAGAATTTTTTAAAAAGTTATTCCAATTATATATTGCTGTATTTTATAGTTTTATATAGCAAATCTTTAACTAGTGCTTAGCTATGATTAGAGTTTGAAACCAGTTTTATTTTTTATATGTTTTTTTTTACTTTAGCAATTCTTCTTTTATTTTATAAATTGTAGCAAATTACAACAAGATATCTTAGTTGATTAAACTTACATTATCTATTAGAAATGCTATATACCTGTTTAAATAAAAAATCTCTCGATCTGTCTCATTATTGTAGCAAAATTATGATAAATCATAATTAAGTATTAGAGTATAACCCAGAAGCAACCCGTCTAAGTAATAATTTTCCTTCTTTCAGGATCCTCAACTTACTAAGAATATGAGCTCCAGATATCAATGGATACCACCAATCTGATAACATTTTCTCATAAAGAAGTAAAAAAAAAAAAAAAGTGGTAAGTATAGAGTGAAAAAGAAGTAAATAAAAAAAACAAATATATAAAAAAAATTACCAAAATATAAAGGAATTAAAAGACTATTCTAAAATCTAAAAGAACTTGTCTATAGATATAAAAACCTGCTAACTAGATAAAAAACTATCTACATAGTTATAGAAATCTATATATAAAGCTATTTAACAAAAGATATAATATATTTTAACCTGTGCTAAAAATTAAAAATTATATAGAATGTGATGACTTAGTGAAGTAGTGAAGTTATCACACCTCTAAGCGGTTGAGTACAAGTTCAATTCCCACTGAAGACGAAAATTGAATTTTGAAAACTAGATTTGGTAACTCTTGTTATGGCCAGGAAAACTCAAAACTCTGTAACTGTAGTTGTACCAATTCATCAGAACTAGAAGATCTTGGGTATTTGTATAATATATAAGTTATATAAATAAATCTTTAGATTGCAAAAGGCCACAGGGCTAATACTATGATAGGGCACTCACTTGGCAAGTTCCAAATAGAGAGATAGCACAGATCTTTGATGGTATTATGTAAAGGATCATCATTAGAAGAACTGGCAAAACTGAATGGGACCGAAGTGTTTGGCAAAGCATTCTACAAACCAGGTTGTCAGAGAAATAACCAGAGAAAAAGGACCCAACCGTAGAGACCAGGAGCAGGTCATAGCCCTTCTGAGCCATTTAGATTGGTAGTTTGAAATAGTTAGAGATATCATAGATAGTCTGTAATGCATGTACTGGGGTTTGGGTAAACTCTATAAGGGTAAAAGTAGGTTGTGTAGTAGCAACCAGGCTATAGTATCTAATATAGAAACTGGTATACAAATGGTGGGCCTTGGTCCATGCGTGTCAACCGAAGACTAAGGTCAGCTAGATTGTAGATACAGAAGGCTCTAGCAGGTTTGCCTCAAGGATAAAGAGCTTTTGAAGTTAAAGAACCTGTTTTAAAGTTCTAAGTTGGTATTTAAAACTAAAGATTTCTGTATTGGATTCTTGCTTAGTTAATAGAGTAATCACATAGATGTAGAGGGTTTAAATAGATAACTCCTTAGTCAGGTTATAGATATGACATCTAGTGTAGAATTTAGTAATAAGCAGACTATTTAAATAGACAACCAAAAGTTGTACGTGTGGTTAGTTGTACTCTCAAAATATGTATATAGTATAAAAATCATACTATAAAAAAATTATAACTATAACTGAATAAAGAAACATTACAGAGAGGTCGCCTTAATATCAAAAAAAAAAAATTATATGTTTATAATTTTGGACTATTGTATATCTTATATTATTGTTTTAGTTGCCAACTTTTATATTAAATCTAACTCAGATTCTAGAACAACCAACTTTAAAGTCTTGATATGTAATTGTTGATTTTAATTTCAGCTTTAAAACTTTCTCTTCATATGTATTTGTTGTTTTTCTTATTTGTTATATTGTAACTTGAGACTTTTTGAAAATAAAAGTAATAAACAATAATGATTTCTTACTGATCTTTTGGAAGAAAGTAGTCAAATTCTTCACTTTTGTCAAAAATTTTGAAAAAAAGAAATAGCTCAAGAAAAATAGTAGCTTTGCGAGGTTTCAAATTTAAAGAGTACTTTTTTAATCTATTTGTTTCATCCTTTAGTCTTTTTTTCTTCCAAATATAGATTTCAATACTATAATATTTTTAAAATATCTTTTTGGTTTGGATGCTGAATATGTAAAAAGAGTTTACCAAAAAACAAGCTTAACCTCTCTGAAAACCAACTACAGCTACTCACTCCTTAATATTATCATATTTGTAGTCTTTGTTGACAACACTTTATTACAGTCGGGCACATTACCAAAAATGGGCAATGTAGATCGCCCTTTTTATGGTATAGAAATGCAGATCAAGTGA